CTGCTGTTGATTTATTAAAGGAGGGAGGCATGATACTTCCACTAAAGAATCCAAAAAAGGGAACTCTGGCACTCAGATTCCTCTAATTCTCCTCTTTCAAATGCATGGATTGAATACTCATCCAGAGGTCAGCGGCACCAAAAAAACACAACTGCACGTACAGCTCAGCTTGTACAACCAACACAGCTGAAAGCACGCACTGTAGAGGCAGGAAAGTCTTCAGTGCACTCCCAGAACAATTAATGCTGACTTTCAAACCAAGAGCAGCATGGAACCCAAAGCAAAAAGAGCAAGACTGCGTGTGCTCAGTACATAATCTTCAAAAGCTTTGATTCAGCAATAATGAAAGGAAATTTCTTTCTCCTCAGAAATAAATTAAAAGCAATACATTTTAGAGAGAACATAAGCAATAACAGGCTTGGATTTCAGAAGGAGGAAATCCATTAACTGTGTTCAAAGAGGGAAGGTATTTAATTGGTGAGTAACATGATTTTGCAATATGGGCTGTTAACTCTCTGAGATCCAAAGCATCATTTTTAACACCAAGGTTCTGCAGAGGAGTCAGACCAGGTTTTCCACTATTGTGACTGATGTGTGCATAAATACCTGAGCCACGTCAATATTTCAGAATGACACTTAATTAAACCTAAAGAAGTGCTGACAAGTTCTCCCCTCCTTAGGGTATGTTTTTGAAAAGTAGCTTAAACCCAGATCTCACTGGGAGTAAGAGGAAGGAATGGCTTCTTTGCCTTAAACTTGCAGATTTAAGGCTCATGCTATGTGTACATAGAATGGCCTGGGTTGAAAAGGACCACAATGGTCATCTAGTTTCAACCCCCCTGCTATGTGCAGGTCACCAACCAGCAGCCCAGGCTGCCCAGAGCCACATCCAGCCTGGCCTTGAACGCCTGCAGGGATGGGGCATCCACAGCCTCCTTGGGCAACCTGTTCCAGTGCATCACCACTCTCTAGGTGAAAAACTTCCTCCTAATATCTAATCCAAACCTCCCCTGTCTCAGTTTAAAACCGTTTCCCTTTGTCCTATCACCATCCACCATCACAAACAGTCACAAATACATACACATATATAAGCTATTGTGATTACAGGTAGCAAGTTTCTAGATCTCCTTATGAGAGCAGGCATTGATGTAATCGGGAAATATTTTACAGTCCATCAGATCAGTTCCCTCTTACAAAAATACAGCATCTTCAGGCTATCAGATTTTATACAACCACATATTTCCACTGTTTTATGGCTATGCCAGAGTTCAGATGGAAGTACCTTGATCTCATTTTTCTCCTGAATAAAGTGTTATAATCCAGGAAAGGAACTTCAGAGGATGATGCTCATCCACTTCCCTTAATCCTCCAGCCAGTGAATATACTGGGGGACAGAAAGAGAGCCCTTTACTATCTGTTGAAAAAACCTAAACTCTAACTTAGTTTTCCTCCAGAAATTCTGTTGAAAAGAGGCTTTACATGCCAACTTTTTGTGGATGTGGTTCTGCTGGGGAGCCAACCAGCACAGCTCGATCTGCTGGCAGCACGCTGTAGTGCAGCAGCTAGAATGGCAGCGCTGATTTTTTTGTTCAGCGTGACATTCATATTCACAAAGATGAGAAATCCTTCGATATTTATTTTCTTTCCTAGCAACCGCTACTGGATACTGGAGAGGGACAGCGGGATTAAAAACAGCCATTTTGGGAGCAGAAGATTTTCCATTACAAAAGCAGAAGGGAATTGTACCACACTGCTTTATCTCAGCTCCCAAACCTGAACACATGTCAGGCCCCACAAACCAACTCTCAACAACTGCAAATGGGCATCGCTGGAGCTTAAAAACCCAACATACCATCTAAATATGCCAGGAGACTGTCTCACCAAGACATGACTACACAGCCTTCTTCCATATCACCCAGAGAGTCTTGTGACAAAATTCAAGGCTCCCAAACAAAGCTATACAGAAAAATTATACAAAGCAACCTGGTCTAGTATTAAATGTGGAGGCTAGTGAGTCATGATCCTTGAGGTCCCTTCCAACCCAGGCCGTTCTGTGATTCTATACCACCACATACCTCATGGAAGCACTTGCATTGCTTTGTTATAGCCAAACAAACTGCATGTCACTTCAAATATATTAAAATTCAGTGCAAATAACAATTAGGATCTAAAAGTATCTTCCTGTACGGAAGCACCCTGTACCCCACTAGTTACAGTGAAATGCATTCCAGTCCTCAGCAACAGACTTCAACTTTTTAATTGTTTCTACTCGCCTGAAATAATTAAGGATTGCAGTCTGCATCACTTTGAAACTGTTCACAACCACGGGGTCAGCAGTAAAGCCCTGCAACAACAGCTACCATTGCTACACTTTCATCTTTACAGATGATGGGCCGAGTTTACTCAACCACTGCCAATGTAGATACAAAGCTGAATGATACAGTTTGCTTTTGGGGAATGATTCATCTCAACAAGCCTGCACAGAATTAAAGCAGCATGAAAAGTGTTTCTAAGCCAGGAATCCAGCTCTAAATCCAGGTGTTCCTTGAGGTGCAGTCAAAGTGACTTGCCTTTGGGTAGCATGATGATATGCAGCTGAAACATCTGAGAACTTTTAAAAAATGAAATAAAATGGTTTTAAAGATTGTGGTGAGATCCTGTAAAACCAAAGCAGACCCATCATGGCATCTGCCCTGCCACAGAGCATGGCACTGGGCTGAGTGTGCAAGGGGACAGATTGCACTCTGTGACTTTTGCAAAGCAGCCCTCACTTAAGTTATCTGGGAGCAGAAGGAACCATTCACTGAGCCACATCTCAGCTTCTGCTAAGAAAGATTCCAAGCAGTGCACAAAGTGAGGCTCTTGGCATTCACGTTGTGACCACTCCTTCCTCCTGCTCTATCCTGTGTGGATAACTGTAGGGAAGCATCTATACTTCTACAGTGAATACTTCTTGAAGAAAGATTTTTCTCTTCTGACAGCAGTTTAAGCCTTCTGGTCTTAGTTCCCATTTCTGCCCCAACCCACAATAACTCTTGCTTTCTGTTAGGCATAATCCTAAATGTAAGCTCAGTGCTACACAGCTACACATCACCACTTAAATGTCACGATGTGCCCCAATTTTAAACTACAGGGCTTGCAGCAGCAGAAGGAACTGTTAACTATAACCTTTTTGTGATTAGAGATGGCAGATTCCTCATTTCAAGGTCTAATGCCATGGTTTTTAGTGAAAATGTGTATTTGGACCCTGGTTGTTCTTTAAGTTCTAATATAAGATCATCAAGGGCTAATTGTCTGGAAATATGGTTGATGGAGTTAGTCATCCCATGATCTGTTCTGCATTATATCTCCTCAGGGGGCTTGAAAGCAGAAAACCAACATGCACACAGACCCTGTGCATTTCTAGCTAGGAGTAAACACTCAAAGTTAACAGCAAAACAAGAACAATTATGAAGAGAAATATCTTACATACCCTGAGCCACACAAGACGCTAGACAAAACAACAGCAAACGCTAAGGGAGAAAGCACCCAGCACAAAATGTGCCAAGGGATGCATTTGTTGCACTTATCGCATTGACCACAAGTTACCAACGCCAAAAGAACAAAACTGAAACAGCAGAAAAGGTGATTCATGGCAGTGCAAGCTGGGCAGGCAATGACTTCTTGTATTTCTGAGTGCACCAAAGTAAATAAGCAGGGCAAAGGGAGAGAAGAATGCTCACACTTGCTCTGACTCAACAAAAGCAATGCCAATTAGAGTGATTGCAGGGATATATCACCTGTGAAAGCACTCAGGGCTTGCCACAGGTATTAGGGCTGAGGGAAGGGAGCAGGGTGTGAGCTTTTCTGCACAGCTGCTCCCAATGGCTCCTGCACAATGGCAGACACTCATGTGGTGCCATTTAGAGCAGAATTTGTTCAGGGGCAACTCACAGCTGGCAGCACCTCCAGCATCAAAAGTCTGGATCACTATTGTTACTGATAGAGCAACCACAGGTCTTTCGGCCAACGGTGCTCTTCTGGGAGACGAATTGCTTATAGAAAGAGAAAGGAGCCTCAAAGAAACACTGAGAGCTCCATGGAGCGCAGTGCTCCAGCAGATTAACCTGACTTCTCTACACAGCGTGGCCCTACAAAATGGAGTAAGGTTTACCAGAAGTCTGCTGGAGGCCGTTTGTGTGTGTTAGCCTGATACAGCCTGAAAACACATTGCACGACAGACTCAGACGTTTCACTTCTGAGACGCGAGAAGTAATGGGAAGGGAACCAAAAAGCAGCCAGTGAATTCTGCGAGAGTGGGATGGAGTTGAACGGGGTACATAAATAGAAGGGGGAACAAAGAGGGCAGGGATGGAGGTAGGAACACCTCAGGGCGGCTCTCGCAGCGCTTTGGGGGTGGGGAGGACGGAGCGTCCGCGATCTGCTAACAATGCAGGGGAGCTCTGCAGGGGGAAGCGCTCCACACAAAGCACGCAACAGTTTCCAACCATCAGATTTCCACTTACAGCGAGCAAAAACTTCGTCCGTGGGATTCCGTGCACGTTTCCGGCTGTCCTATTAAAGAAATTATCCGGAAAGATAAGCGTTTCGCTTCACATTCCTAAACAAAGGGCTCTCACCGCCGAGAACACCTCACAAACTTGCTCAGGGAGGGTCGGTCCGCGCCGCGAGCCGCGCGTGCAGCTCTTTGTGTCCGCGCACCGCCAACTGCCGCGGGCTGCAGCTGCTACGGCACTCAGCTCCGCCTGCACGCGGTCTGTGCAGCACCCGGGGCGGCTTTGAGATTTGCTCCGTTGCTTTTGCTGCTCTTCCCGCAGGTAACGCTCCCGCAGCCCTCGCGCACAGCGAGCGGCACCGCGCGCGGCTCAGCGCTGCCACCCAGCAGCGCCGAGAAGAAGAAAAAACTCAGCCCCGAGAGCATCACCGGAGAGCCCCGGGTCTCCACCCGAACTTTCTACCCCCGAGCCTTCAAACAAAGCACCCTCCCAGCCCTCACTCACATGCCCCGCTGCAGTCTCGGTTCCTCCGCTCTGCTCACTCGGGCCGCCAGCGCCCAGCCCAGCCCGAGGCACAGCCACACCGCTCCCATCGCGCGCTGCTCCGCGCCCCTCTCAGCAGCAGCAGCAGCCGCCCACCACCCTCCGAACCCTATAAAGGGGCGGTGAGGCCCGGCCCACAGCCCGCCCCTCACTTGGGCTGGGAGCGGAGAGCCCCCCGGCGAGGATCCCCGCGGACCCCTCGGGCTCACGCAGCCCTTATGCTCACGTACCCCTTCGGCTCCTCGCTGTGGGGCTCGGAGCGCCCTGCCCCCGTTATCTCGTTTTAAGTTGTCCCCGATTAACTCCTGAGGCGGAGAGCTGCGAAGGGATTTCTTTACCGTGGCAAGGAAACGTACAGCCCTTCCCTGACCTTAGAATTGTACCCTGAGATCCGCACCGCACGGCTGAGCCCTGCCCTCCCCTCCCCTCCTCTCCCTGCATCTGGAGCAGTTGGAGCTCCGCAGGACCCCGGGTCGGGCTAATCTCATTACCTCCCGCAGAGCGCATCGTTTTCTAATCATTTTATTTCTTAAAGCCCAGGAAATCTTTCTTCATAAAATAATAGACCTTCATTATGTCAAAGCTGAGTGTTAATTATGTCCCGAGTCATCATCCCGATTTGGACCGCTTTCAGGATGGCATTATGGCCAAGTAGCAAAGGATCTGATTGCCTGGCCGTGGTTTCTCCAAGAGAGGTAAATTAGTGTTTAATTTTTGTTCTATCTTAAGGAACTCAACAATAAACCATTAAGAATTATTCAGTATTTCAAATCTGCGTGTGATGGCTCCAAATGATGCACAGTAATTACTGCACCCAGTTATTAAGAATACGGGAAGAGCAGCATGCAAACAGGGGCTACTGAAGTGCAGAGTTCCCATTGCCTCGCTTGGTGAAGGCGGATGAAACCTTTACGTGGGGTCACAGGGTGGAATACAGCTGAGTTCTGAGGATGGAGTGGTTTACAGCCCCTTGTGATCAGCACGGGACAGCATGCAGGCTTTAGGAACTGACACTGACATTATCCCACACTGAAACGCAAACCCAGTTTGCTCGATGTGCCCTTCTTCAAATATTATATAACGTTTTATTCTCAGCTGTGTTTTAATTGAGAACATCTAGCAGGGCTATTGACTTTAATGGGACGATTCATATGAGTAAGAGTTGCAGGGAAGCACCATTTGTGAAGGCAGCTTCAAAAGCCCATTGGGATAATTGATCTGACTGAGCCCAAGTCGGTTAAATCTTCAGGCCTGATACAGACAATGCAGACATGAAAGCAAACTCATTTATTCTAGTTCTTATGGTGGAAGCAGGGGGAAATGCCAGGGAAAAACGATGGTGTGTACAGAATTAGCGACTACTTTACATCACGCAGCCCTGCCAGGACCAACCAGATGCAATCGGCCATGAAACTTATTTGCTACAAAATGGTGTATCTTTGAGCTTGATTCCTACAAACTGTATCGTGCCCACCATCAAAGCAATGTTGGCAAAAGAGTTCTGTTCCTGACTGGTGAAAGGAACGAATTAAATCCTGTCTTGCTCAGCGCTGGAACTGAGCAGCCAAAGTCCTGCTTCCCCCAGGCGACTCTGCAGGTGAGCTATAATCTGAGCCAATCGCATAGAATAAAAGCTGTCAGAAAAAGAACACCTCATGTAGCACTGCAGGACTTTCTGTCAGACAGAAAATACGTAATTTCCATTATTCTCCTCTTTCATTGATCAGGACATTCTTCTTACAGTTTCAGGCGCAATCCTTTGCTAAGCATTATTGAACGGCGTATTGCTTACAACAGAGTGGAGATCCATGAGTTCTGCAGAGAAGTTGGCATCTCTCGCGGAGTCTCATACTATCTTCTTCATTCTAAAGTGTATTTCTCTCCCCATCAGCATTCATTGATGATTATTTTCCTTCAAAGACATTGTGAAAGTTGCTCTGTTTCTCCCCAAGTGTGAATGTGTGAATGAGCACGTCTACAGCTTTGAGTCACACCACCCTGTGCCATTTCCATTTTTCTGCCCAATCCTCAGTATCTCCAAGCCTTTTTAAATCGTAGTTAGTTCCAGGATTTAACATCCCCTTCTGATTGGAAGAAATTCTCGTGCAGAGACCGTAATTAGAAAGGCTGTGCTGTGTTCTGTTATTAGCAGGAATTGTGATTTTTGGAGTGGTGGGTTAATTGCTAATAACCATATGCAATGCTTCTCTCAAGATGTTTCCCATTACAGTAATTAACTTAGCAGCTGGGGTAACAGACATTTACCATTTGTCTTCACAGTATCCCTGATTTAGGATTGTTCCAAAAACCGATTTGGACTTTGTTCAATTCCCAAGCACAAGATGAAAAACAGGGATGCTGAGAGAGAGAGAGAGACTTGGGAAAGAACCAGCTGCAGAGATGGTACCTGTTTGTGAATGCAAACTCTCCACTGATGCATCCTCAGGACTTCTGAACTTTGCTACAACAGTCTTTGAGTGGGACTGCATCCACATTGTGCCAACTGGAAGGCAGACCAGCGTGACAAAAGAACATTAAAAAAAAAAAAATGTATTGATTGCTGTGTTGCTCAAAACATCGGTTGATTCACCTTTAGCCTTTTTGAGGATTATTAATTGAAAAATGCAGAATGCTTTCTTTCCAATGCATATCCTTAACCTTGAGATTCCCTATGGTTTGTGATTCTTTTTTCTCCATGTTTCACAGTCAGCTCTACGGATACAAACGTTTTTAGGTAAATATTTCCTTTCTGAGCTATCTCACTGGAGTTCCTTCCTCCACAACAAGTGGTAAGAGCCAGGCTAGAATTACAGCAATATTTGTAAGTCTGTGGCTAACCTGAAATTTAAGAAGGAAACAGAGGTGGCCTACAAAGCCAGACCACCTGACAGAAGAAAGGCAGCTTTGTAAATTTAATTCGTCAGTGGAAGATGTTTAAAGGATTCTTTTTGCTTACAAGTTCATAGGAACACAGTGCTAGAATAGGTTCATTTTCAAATTGGTTCTGGCCAAACAGAGCAAGTTCTGTACAAGACAATAATTAAAGAAGGTTTGTTAATGCCCTCAAAGATGTGAAGCAGTGTACCAAGGCAACTGGAAGCTTTCCTCTGCTGCAGCAATTGGCGTTGCTCCACTGCAAGGAATGGGGGAGCACTAATCTGTGGTAACTGAGGATCTAGCCTGCACTGATAATCCTAATTATGGACTTATTCCAGAGGTACATTTTCTAAAGCTGCTGTGTAAGGTGGGAAAATTTAGCTCAAATTATTTTATTCAACGGGAAGTAAAAGCAGTGGATAAATACATACTTGGTGTTGCACTGGGTTTTAACATCCAATAGTTTTCTGGCACTGTGTCACTCCCTGATATTTTTCCCTACATCACATAGCAGTAAGTTTCTGATAACAGTGCTCACAGACAGTTTTGATTATCACCACTTGTCTGGGAATGGATAACTCGGAGAATTAACTCCATGTCTGACTGAAAAAATGCTACCTGAAGTGCATTAGCACAGTGATCATTTCTGCTAATAGAAGCCTCCAAACCCCGTCCACTAACTTGGAATCAAAATTCCTACTTCATTCCTATTGATAGTTTTGGTTTGGGTGTGAATTTACTGTCACCATCCTGCCTATCCCCCATCTAGGGTTGGAACTAGATGATCCTTAAGGTCCCTTCCAACCCAAATCATTCTACGATCTCCTCTACCCCATCCTTCCGACAAGTAGCAACTCTGCTTTCCCATTTGCCCTAAATAACAGAATCATGTGCTTTCATTGATGTTCAGTATTTGGGCTGAGGAGAGGGCAGGAAGGGTTGGAAGGGATAAAAAAGAAAATTTGACCACAGTGCAGCCTCTCTAAAAGGAAAAAAATATTAAAAGGTATTTCTTTTAGACAGAGTAAGTAGAAATCTATTGATATTCAAGTCAAGTACGTATTTCTGTAGGGAACTCTTACATCTGATGGAGAAAATAAAATGTTACCCACGTTCACAATTACTTATATAAAGGCCACTGACCTCATCTCTTAGCTTTTCGCTTTAACATTAGTTAACCAAACCCCCAGCAAGAACTGACTATTGACAGTATAATCCTAAAGTACGTTTTATGTTGGCAGGCAACAACAACTGGGAGCACTTTTATCTATTTCTGGATTTGGAGTAATGACACTCCAATGAGTGGCTGATCCAGCGTACTTACGCACATTCAAATTAAGATCACACATCTGGGAGACTTTGCATCTTCCCTGCCCTACACAGGTGAGAGCCAGATGGAACTGAGGCTCAGCAGAACTATCCCAGCTGCATTTCGATGTAAAGAACGGGGATGCAGGCACTTCAGGGTTTCACAGAGCAGTGCAAACATTAACAAATCATTTTCTAGGAGAAAACGTTGGATTTTTTTTTTATTATTTTTTTTTAATTTTTAACAATTCTTTACTGAATTAATTTCATTGGGCCATCCTATTACCCACCCGTAAATCTGCAGACAGCTGAACCAGCAGCTCATTCCAACATGCAGCAGGGTACCTGCGTGCTGTGTGCTCCCAGAAATCAAATCTGGGGAACTCGTGCTAGGAGTGTTTAAAAGCTCATCAAGTGAGGAAATACAGCGAGCACCCTGAGGTCATCCCAGCGATGGCAGGTAAACAACACCGTCTGATTTTCAGCTATTTTTGGTCCATCCGAGGGGCAGGAGGTCTCAAACTCTTATTCTCTAAGAAGATTGCAACAGAGAAATGCAAAAAAAATAAAAAGAATAATAATAAAAAATTAAAATGCGTAATGAAATCACTCTCTTTTGCATAATGACTTCTTGTTAGCTCGTAGCACAGTGCAGCAGTGTCAGGGCTGTGCTGGGATCACAAAGGGATGAACTCAGCCCCACAAAGCAGGCAGTAACAACACTGCAGGAGCTCCTGTATGTGAACTACAGTCTTAACCAGCGCTAATACTTCAAGAGCTCTAATTTATCCTCTGGGGTAGGCAGCTTCCTCGCAGTTTGGTTTCAGATGTCGGGACTGGTAACTTTAATCTGCATCGCCAAAAATGCAGTTGCAA